TACAGCCACTGGGCTGTGAAAGGGGAGCCCAGCACTGGTGTGGGAGACATCAACACAAGAGAGTGGGCAGAGACCCTGTCATGCGAGAAGACCATGGCATACCTGGACACGTCCCCACACTAAGGGGACACTCATCCCAGCTGTAGATGTCCCGCTGTTTGAGGGTTGCTATCTTTAATAGGTCAAGGTCATTTTCAGTTTTGTTCTCCCTTTTAAGCCCGTGGCCACCCCACCCAGCTTAGTGTCAGGTGCAGGCTGGATGAACACCTTCTCAGTGTTATTTCCCGGGTCACTGGTAAGAGCATTAGATCATCCAGGGCCTGCCCACTCTGCACCTGCCTGAGCCTGACCTCACCGGGTGACAGGCTGCTCTGTCTCTGGTCCTCCCTCAGGTCCTTCATCGAGATCTCCAACAACTGCCTGTCCAAGGCCCAGTTGGCCGAGGTGGTGGAGTCCATGTTCCGGGAGTCAGGCTTCCAGAACAAGGAGGAGTTGACATGGGAGGACTTCCACTTTATGTTGAGGGACCATGACAGTGAGCTTCGTCGCACGCAGCTCTGCATCAAAGGTGGAGGTGTGTGAGTATGTAAGGAATGGTCAGAGTCAAGGAAGGGTGTGCCCTCGAAATGAGAGTTCCTGGTGGATAAGACCCAGAGCTCATTTCTGTCTTAATTCTTGGCACATAGCACGGAGCCAGGCATGTGTAATCAAGGGCATCACACACAGCTGTGCAATTTGCATGCTGCACAAAAATGTCCACTAAGGGTTTTAGAGTGAGCTGAAATCCAGCTGACATTCTCCTCACCAAGCCATGTGCATTGGTCTGTGTTGTTTCTGGCCAGAGGAAAAGACTACTCCCACCTCCCCACTGTCTATACAGCCACTGGGCTGTGAAAGGGGAGCCCAGCACTGGTGTGGGAGACATCAACACAAGAGAGTGGGCAGAGACCCTGTCATGCGAGAAGACCATGGCATACCTGGACAAGTCCCCACACTAAGGGGACACTCAACCCAGCTATAGATGTCCCCCTGTTTGAAGGTTGCTATCTTTAATCGGTCAAGGTCATTTTCAGTTTTGTTCTGCCTTTTGAGCCCGTGGCCACCCCACCCAGCTTAGTGTCAGGTGCAGGTTAAGAGGAAAAGATTACACTACTTTCTTTACACAAAGTATCTGCAGGCCCAGGCAGGCGTCTACCTGGAGTGGGTTCCTTTTTCTACACTGCACAGGATTACCGCAGTGTCTGGCAGTTGCTGCCCTGTGCAGTGGGCACTCAGTGTGGGGAGTGAGGGAAACAAAGCTGAAGCAGGAGATGAGGACATGACAAAGTCACCGGCAAGTGCCACGGCAGCCTTCCCAGAGGGCTGCGGGGGGGCAGGCAGTCTCCAATCCCCCACCCCACGCTGTTGCCCTCATGGGGAAGCCTGTCCAGTGTTTTGTTCTCCTCTCCAGGTGTTGAAGACATCTTTAAACCACAAATCAACTGTCGAGTCTCATTCATTGCTCGGACTCCTGGGGAACGGTGAGAAGGAAAGAAGCATTGGGAAATCCCTTTGGCCAGGTCTACTGCAAAGGAATGAAAAAGTAGGGCTGGCTGAATCAGACCCTGGGGTCAGACACTGACCTCTGAAAGTTGCACTTAGTGGGTGGCCAGTCCTAGCCCGAATTCCAGCTGCCTCCCACGCCCCATGCTATTCAGGAGCCTGGCTCTCTCCCTGCCACTCCAGGACGGAACCAAGAGCCACCCTACAAAACAGATGACCAGATCATATTATTCGTTCTGCCTTGCCTCTGCCTGCTCCTCTCTGACCAGCTTTATGGGCAGGCTGTGTGGGCAGGGACAGCTCCTAGGATTTACCCCTTCCCTATCCCATCCCCCCCACCCCTCAAGCTCTGACCTGGCAGTTCTTCTCCTGGCTGCAAGGACAAGGGGAAGAACTAGCCCCATTTTCCTTTTTCAGCTCCTCCCAAGGGGTGGGGGTTCCTGCCTTAGAAGCCCCAGAGCTGGGAGGCCCTGTGCTGAAGAAGAGGTTTGGCAAAAAGTGAGTGTTTCCTAGACCCCTGGACCCAGGGTACGTGGGGAGAGATCTCAGGGTCTCTGGGCCCTGCCCACACCACCTTGACACACAAGAGACCATCCCGAGTCTCATTCCACTTGTACCTAACATGACTGGCGGTTGTAGAGTCAAGTGATCAACATCCTAATCTTTGAGCTAGAGTATGGCACTCCGATGCCACCCTAAGTCTCCTGGCTCCTGCCCGCTATGGGCACAGCAGTGGGGCCTATTCAGGGAGCAGGGAGAAGGAAGGACAGAATAGACAGGAGGAAGGGGAAGTAGAGTAGTGGGGAGGCAGAGGATGGATGGATGAAACAAATAAAGATGAAAGGTAAAGTTTTGGGAGATTGAGAGTCTGTCCCCCAAATGCTTTTTCCTTTCTCTGTTGTGGCCCATCCTGACCCCCAGGAAGTCATCAGGTCTCCTTCACAGGGTGGCATTTAGGGGAGGCTAGGGTGCCTTGAGCTTACAGCCACCTTGCCTCCCACGGCTGCAGGGTAGTGGTGACCCCTCCCCGGCTGTACACGGAGGCGCTGCAGGAGAAGATGCGTCGGGGCCTCTTGGCGCAGAAGCTGCGGCAGTACAAGCGCTTCGTGGAGAACTACCGGCGCCACATCGTGTGCATCGCGGTCTTCTCGGCCATCTGTGCAGGCCTGTTTGCAGAGCGTGCTTACTGTACGAGCTCTGGGTTTGGGGCAGTGGGAAGGGCAAAGGGAAGCCCTCTGGTTGTGTTCCGCTCCTCACAGTCCTACTCTGTCCCCAGTCTATGCCTTTGCCTCGCCATCCTCGGGCATTGCCCAGACCACCTATGTGGGCATCATCCTGTCGCGGGGCACGGCCGCCAGCATCTCCTTCATGTTCTCCTACATCCTGCTCACCATGTGCCGCAACCTCATCACCTTCCTGCGCGAGACCTTCCTCAACCGCTACGTGCCCTTCGACGCGGCCGTGGACTTCCATCGCTGGATCGCCATGGCTGCTGTTATCCTGGCTAGTATGTGGCTCCCGGGGGATCTCCTCATTTCTGCAGCCCCCTGGGACTAGCTGTGGGAAACATAATGAGGTGACTGAGCTACTTTTACTTCCATCATTCCCCCTTTTCCTCTCTCCATTGGGGTTGGACATAGGGTGGGCCCCGGGTGGTGGCATCTCTAACGGTCTGCCTCTTTCAGTTCTGCACAGTGCTGGCCACGCGGTCAATGTCTACATCTTCTCAGTCAGTCCCCTCAGCCTGCTGGCCTGCATCTTCCCCAGCGTCTTTGTGAATGATGGGTCAGTTCTGGGGAGGGTCCCCCTAGGGACACCTGGGCAGGTCTAAGGATATAACAGAAAAGAAATAGATGGTCCTAGACACTCTCCCTCACTGAGTGAGGGTGAGATGCCAGCCTCCTTGGGGAAGCTGAGAGGTGTCTTCCTCACCCTCAGGAAGGAAACTGGCCATGACTGGTCAGGAAAGGAGCTTGGGAGATGAAGTTGGAGACTCTTTCCCACATGTACCTGACACACATGTCAGCCTATTATCCATTCACTGGGCAAACACTTATGGAGCACATTTTATGTGTCCATCCAAGAGCCAGAGAGTAGGGATGCCAAGATACATGCAATCACTCAGCGAATACTTACTGGGCACTTACTATGTGTTGGGTACTGTTTGAGCATAGGAATAGGGCACTGAGCAAAACATATCCCTGCCCACATGGAGTTTATAGAACATGAACCAAGCACTGAAGGAAGCAAAGATCAGCCACAGTAGGAGGGTTCAGGACAACACAGGAGGAGGAATTCCTGAGAGAACAGAGACTAGAACTGTGGGAGGCTGGGTGTCATGTTCCTTGGAAGGATGGCGGGCCATCTGGGTGGAGGCCCAGTGAGCTCACCCACCAGGGCTGGCAGGAACAGAATCACGTTGTGACAGTGGTGGAGCCCCTCCTGCCCCAGCCAGAGGCTCCACGTGCTTTTGCCCCACAGGTCGCAGTTTCCCCAGAAGTTCTACTGGTGGTTCTTTCAGACAGTCCCAGGTAGGGAGCAGGGCCGTGCGAGGGGTCTGAGGGTAGTGTCTGAGGACTTCCACTTTTGTCATCATCTTCTCGTGAATACACACTTGTGCATAATGGTCATAGGAAGGGATTTCTAGCCTCCGGGACAAGCCCCAGCCTCAGCCCTCTCCGGCAGGCTGTCCT